CCTGTTGGGTTTCCCTTCCCTGTGGATGCTTTCCCAAGTTGGACTGTGGGAACCCCTGCAAGCTGACTTTTTAAGCATAGTGTCTTTTTAGCCTGTTCTGTCCTTCTTTGGGTACTTCTTGCTTTCTGGTGTGCAAGGTATTCCGGGCCCTTCTGCCAGCTCTGGTGTGCCACTGCAGTGGAAGGGCTGCTCCAGGCTGCAGGCAGAGCGAGTGTGTGTGCGTGTGTGTGTGCACGCGCGTGTGCGTAGGGATGCATCCCACCTAGTTCTTGGCCTCAGGCCCACCCTGGTTCCCTTCCCCGTGGTGGAAGTGAGCTTCTCAGCAGTGAGAGGGTCCTACTCCCCTTCACCTTTAGCCTGTGTCCTGGATCTGGTCTGTTTGCTGCTCATTATTCCCACCACCATCTGAGTTAAAGAAAAAGATCCAGTTCTACCATTTTCCTGTGTCTTGCTGTCTTGAGGCTTTCCGCCTGTTCTCGGGTCCGGGTGTTTGCCCTGCTTGCTGGGCACGTTATAATAGTTTTGGGCGTCCTGCCTGTAGTTCCCGCCTCTGGCCGCCCAGGTGGTGGATCCCGTTGCTCTTCTCAAGTGTGAAGGCGTGAGATGCTGGCTTTCCTTTACGCCCTGCAGAAGGCGCTCCGCCCTCCGGTGGCTTGGATCTGACTGTTCTGACGCCAGGCGGGCCGTGGACCCTGGTGCCGTGTCCCAGGCGTCTGCAGTGCTGCTGGTGGGGGCCTGGGCCTCCCTGTGGCAGTCCCCAGATCCAGGTCTGGAGGCGGCCTCCCTGGAGCGTGAGGCGCTTGGACTCGCACCCCGCCGGCTGCTGCCGCCCCAGCACTTGCAGTCCTTTTCTGGCCAGAAGACCAGGCTGTGGTCATACAGTGCCCCTGGGAGGATGGCGGAAAGCAGCGAGCCTCGCCAGCATGGTGGAGTGGCCGTGCTGGACCTGCCTGGGGACCCCACCAGCCTGCAGTGTCTGGGCTCTCGCGGCTTCCATTGCTGCCCTCCTTAGCCCAGTAATGTTTTTTTGTTTTTTTTTTTAACATTTATTAATTAATTTTATTTAAAGTTTTTTAAAAAATTGTCAGTAGGCCTTTATTTTAGTTATTTATATGCGGTGCTGAGAATGGACCCAGTGCCTCGCACGTGCCAGACAAGCGCTCTGCCAAGGAGCCACAGCCCAGCCCGGCACTGGGTTTACAGATCACATTAGTTAGGTGTTTCTGAAACACGTTTGTCCATAAAGCAAGAGGAAAGCACCAGCACCTGATTTAGTTCCAGTGGACGCGATGCTGCTTCCCTGAGGTGGGCTAGAGCCGGTCGGTGCTGCGAGGCCAGCTTTGCTGTGGAGGGCGCCCCAGGCAGGCCCCTTTGCTGGGGACCCAGCTGATGATGACAAGACTGTGGTCCCAAGAGCACGTTGCACGGACTGTGGGCGGGCAGGCTGCCTGGGGGGAGAGCTGAGCCTGGGGCTGAGGGCTTGCTCTGGGCCACTGCCCAGCTCTAGCTGCTGGGCCTCCTTCAGCTCTGCTTGTGAGATGAGTCCCGCTCAGGTCTCCGCTGGGGACTCGCGGCCCAGGTGTGTGTGGGGACGTTCTGTACTGCTGTTTTGAATTTGAATCTAGTGGAAGTGATCAGAATTAAACAGTGACTGTGAGAGGAAGGCAGCAAGGTGGGCAGGAGACACCACGCACGTGTGGAGCAGGCTGGGGAGGGGGCGTGGTGCTCAGAGGAGCCCTGGCAGCCCCAGGGTGCTGCTCCAGGGAAGGCTTCCGGTGGCCCAGTCCACTGAGCCTCATCAGATGTGGCCAGTGACCACAGGGTACTCCTGGTCTGCGCTCCCTGACACCCCTGCAAACCTCGGGTTGCTGAGGGCCTGCCCCCTGTCCAGCCGTCAGAGTGCTCCACTGCCCGGAAGAGAGCTGAGCTCGTCAGCCTGACCTAGGCCTTGCCCGTGGCACCTGTACCACAGCTCCTCTCGGTGGGCTGTGGCCAGTGTCCAGGTGCACAGTACAGTAGCCTGCAATGCTCATGGGCCTCGCCTCCATGCAGATCTGGGATTCACCCTGCAGAGGTGACCATGACCCGGGATACCTCCATCATTGCAGATTGAGCTCGGTTTGTGGGTGGGTCTGGTTCACCTGCAAGTGTTTCAGGTGGGCGCACAGCTGCTGAGGCAGGATGCCCCGTGGTAGGCTGCACAGCAAGGTGAGGGGTAAGCACCAGCCACCAGAGCGTGGGGCTGTGAGCCTACAGAAGTGACTGTCCCACTCCACAAAGGACGTTCAGTTGAATTTTAGGGCAATCCGTGTTCAGCGCATGTTCAGCGCGATCTTCTGAGGAGCCCTGCGGTCTCCCCGGGCCTAAGCTGTGGGGTTCATCCAGTGTGCTGCGGCACTGAGCGTGAGGCTGCTGTTTTGTGGACTTAAACATGTGAAGCTTGCAGGATGCGGCGATGCGTGTCTGCGATCCTCAGGGCTCAGAAAGCTGAGGCAGGAGAATTGCAGGTATGAGATCAGTCTGGGCAGCTTAGTGAGGCCCTGAGCAACTTACCGAGATTCTGATTTTTATTTTATTCTCAAAATAAAAAAATGGAAAGGGCTGGGGATGTGGCTCAGTGGTTAAGCTGCACTGGGTTCAATCCCAGGAACAAAAGAAATAAGAAAAAGGAAAACAAAAACACAGTCAGTGCAGCTGCTGCCAGTTAAACCGGGGACTGCTCCTCACTCCTCACCCTGCTGTTGGACGAGCGCGTGGGGACTGGGTGTGGGCTTGAAGACCAAGCCTTCTGGGTCATTTGAAGAAAGGAAGTAAACCAGAATAAGTCAGAGGGCACCCCTGGGCTTATCAGAGCTGCCGTGCCGTGCCCACAGCTGCACATGGCACCCGCTACTCGGGGCTCTTGCTGGCTCGCCCCAGCCGCCCTGTCTGCTGGTGGCAGGCTGTGACGACCCTGCGCCGCAGCTGAGCCTGGCCAGCAGCAGGTGTGGGCGGCCAGTGATCCAGAGCTCACGCAGACCCAGGCCCTGGAGTGAGAGGTGCATTCCCAGGCCACCCTGCTTGGCCTGGTCAGTTACGCTAGCCTTCGGGCTCTTAGATAGGGTGTTGACTGCATGGGAGGCGTGAGTTTAATGTATTCGCGCACTTTTATTTTTTAATATTTAATTTTTTGGCGCTGAGGATTCAACCCAGGACACTTGACCACTGAGCCACACCCAGCTCTATTCTGTTTTTTATTTGGAGACACTCTCACTGAGTTGCTTAGTGCTTCTCTTTTGCTGAGGCTGGCTATGAAGTCGCCATCTTCCTGCCTCACCCTCGTAGCTGCTGGGATTATAGGCGGGCGGCACCGTACCCGACTCATTTGCCCTTTAAAAAATATTTTTTAGCTATGTGAGGATGCAGTATCTTTATGTTGTTTGTTTATTTGCTGAGGATCAAACCCAAGGCCTCACATGTGCCACTGAGCCACAACCTCAGCCCTCACTTGTCTTTTAAACAGATTCATCTTCATGTTACTCACCTGCAGTTTAAGTTAAGAAGGGTTTTCACGTGGCCTTTTTCACCCTGCCTCTCTTCCTTGTGCTGGTGCTGGTGTGCAAGGCGAGCGCTCTGGAGCCCGGCCTCACCCTGGAAGTGCCTCCGCGGGTCTGAAGTGGAGCGCCTCCAGCCTGCCCCCGCAGGCTCCAGGGAGCAGTCCCGCTGCCCTCTGGCTGGGGCTGAAATGCCTCTTTACAGGCAAACACCGAGTGGGCTCCTCTGCTCACGTGGGGACGCGCTGGCGCTCAGGGCAGGACAGACGCCGGCTGCGTGTCTTAGACTCACTGACGTGGTGCCTGGTGCTCAGAGACCTGAAAGCTCGGTCAGGGTGCCGTCACTGCTCTGGGGAACCCCGCTGCAGCCTGCCCGTGCCCTGAGGTGGTCGGGGTCAGGTGAGGACTCTGGGCCCCTCTGGCAGGGCAGCCCTCAGATGTGGCCTTGTGGTGAGGGGGTGCACTCTCCTGCAGGGCCCACAGTGCACACCACCCGCAGAGCTGGCTGAGTCGGGCTGGCCACGAGCAGGCAGGAAGGACGAGCACCCCAGGCCACCGGCTCCTTTCTCACTTCCCCAGCACTGGGGTGTAGGTGCCCGAGCAGCCTGCCGTGGGGCCGGCAGTGGCAGAAGCTAATGGGAAGGGGCTTAAAGCTCGGCCCATCGGCCTTCTCTGCGTGGTCTTTCCCAGCTGCCTGGGGGCGGGACGCATTCTCTGACTGTCATGCCCAGGAAACACCAGCTCAAAGGGTGCTTGAAAAACAGGAGTGCCTGCAGCAGGAGGCGTGGGGGGAGGGTGGGAGTGGGAGCCCCAGCACATAGGGTCTTGAGCAGACGGTCACTGGAAGTAGTGCTCAAAACCGGGGAATGTCCATGCCTGTGATTCCAAGCAGTTGGGAGGCCGAGAGAGGAGGAGCACAAGTTGGAGGCCAGCCTCAGCAGCTTAGTGAGGCCCTGTCTCAAAAAAAAAAGTGGGGAGACTGGGGATGTAGCTCAGTGGCAGAGCACCCCTGTATTCAATCCCTGAAACACTCCCCTTTCCCCCAAAAAGAAAAAAGAAATGATGCTCATAACAGAATGGCATGGCTTTGTTTTTGAGGAGAGCAAACTTTGGAAAGGGAGGAAGCAAGAGAGTTGATAGCTGTGGCGCTCACTCCCGGTGGCTGGGCCCCGGGACACGCCCCCTGCTGTCCCTGGGCTGGTGTGGAACCCGCTTCTCCTGAGGTGGGACTGACAGGGTGGACAGGGCGGTGGCCTGCTGGGGGCTGGCGGGTGATGGGAGACGCAGCCTGCCCGGGGCGCCGGGAGGCTTGTTGGCAGTCTGAGGCTCCAGCTGCCCGCCGTGGGGATGCCCACCGTGGGGATGCCCACCGCGGGGATGCCCACCGTGGGGATGCCCGCAGGCCTGCGCCTGAGCTCTCACTTCACCTTGTAATTGTGCTTTTGTTGTGTTTGTTTACTTTTGCAGTGAGTGTTGAAAAGATAGACCTGAAGGGATTGTCACACACACACAGTGACAGAAATGTGGACTGTTCCTTTGAGGTAAGACGCCAAGTTCTTTCCCCTCCTCCCAGGGATAGGAACAAGACATTTGCCACCAGCAGGCACCCACTTACCTGAGTAAAAGCCCAGAACAAATCCTGAGTGAGGTGGGCCAGGCGAGTGGGAGAGACCAGGTGGGCACCGGGCAGGGCTCCGAGCGGTCCTGCCTCTGTCACAGTGTGATGGGGACAGTAGCTGGCCCTCTGTGCCCCCACCTCCCCTCAGCAAAGGGAGGACATTGTCGTGGGAACCTTGGGCCCTGGGGAGCAGTCGGGCGGGAAGCTCCCAGCGAGGAGTCTGTCCTCTGGGGGCGTAGCCTTGGCTCCCGGCGGAGGACATGGAGGACCTGAGCTTGAGCCGACGGGGTCTGAGTCTGGGCACCTGCGATGACGCGGAGGCTCAGCTCTCAGAGTGCCCAGGGTCCGGCCCCCTGGTGAGCTTCTCAGCCTCCCGTGTCCCCTTAGCTCTGCCTCAGGTGTCCATCTGGGCAGCAAGAGGCAGCATGAAGAGGGGGAGCAAGGTCACCTTTCAATCTTTCTTTTAAGAACTATCAGGCAGGAGGAGCGTGAGTTCAAAGCCCGCCTCAGCAATAGCGGGGCCTGAGCGACTCGGTGAGACCCTGTCTCTAAATAAAGTACAGAATAGGGCGGGGGTGTGGCTCAGACATCTCCAGTGGTCCAGTGCCCCTGAGTTCAGTCCCTGGTGCAGAGAGAGAGAAAGAGAGAGAACTATTCCTGAAAGCAGCTGCTGACCTCTTCAGCTGTGAAAGAGGCTGGGAAGGTTTGTGGTGAATGGTGCGCTGTCGGGTTGTCACCTACTGGGCGTGTGGTCTCAGGAGACCAGCTGGTCAGGGAGACCTGCCTGCAGCCCATGGAGTGTTCAGGAGTGAGGGCGGTGTTGGTGCTCCATGTGTGCACTGTACGCAGTTCACGGGGGTTTCAAGGACTGTGCCTGTGTCATACACCCCAAGGCTGTGGCTTGGGACGGACCCTCCTGGGATCTGGGAGGTCTGCACTGTGAGACCTGGCTCCTCTGCTACAGAGGGGTCCTTTGAGCAGGGGGACCTTAGGATTTGGAGGCTGTTGGCTGTGGCAGTGGCACTGAGTCTTGGCCAGCAGAGCCCCTGAGTTCCGGGTCTCAGGGTTGTGCGGGCCAGCAGGCTGCAGGAGCCCTGGGCTCCTGGGTGTCCAGGACGCGGCACCCCTGGCTTCTGTCCTTCTCGGGCATGCACTGCCAGGCTCAGCGCGCACTGTGTGTGTAGCAGGCTGATGTGGGACACCGTCGCGGGAGAGTCAGCTCACCCTCTCCGTCTGGCTGGTCGTGGCAGGCTTTGATTTCCCTAGTCCACGATACGGTTATTTGTGGCAAGGAAAGTGGGCCACGTGGCATGAGAACTGGTGACGTCGAGAACCAAATGTGCCTCTTCCTCTCCCTGGAAGACTTGAGCTTCAGTGACGGGGGGGGGGGGGCCCTTGCCACCTCCTCCTGGCGCTTCTGACTGGAGAGGAGCTGCCCACCCGCGCCATCCCCGCCTGCTGGACGCCTGTGCGCTGCCTGGGCAGAGTTGCTTGTGCCGGCCTCGTAGCTCCCGCGCTGCCCCGTGGGTGGCCAAAGGCTTTGCTGCCGCGGGGGCTAAGCGGAAGTGGAGGACGTGAGGCGCAGGCGCAGCAGCTCCTGGCAGCCTCTGCCTGTGCTCCGAGGGCAGTGCTTCCTCCAGCTGCCCGGGGGCACAGCCAGGCTGCATCTGTGGCAGTGATCTGAGGCGCGCAGCAGCGGGTCCTCATCGAGACCTGAAGGCGTCTTGGACGAGTGCTGGAGTCCATGGGGGCCGCCCAGCACCGAGCCCAGGCACACTCGCAGGGCACACACTGTCCCGTCCTGTTGGAAGGGGGCGCTGTGCTCCATCTTCATGTGTCTCGGGCAGGCCTCTGTCACACAGAAGAGCTGGACGCCTGCTGCTGACCTCCAGCCTCTCCCCTGGTCACCAGAGCCCCCGGTGGTCAGAGGCCATGGCTCTGTGAAGAAGATGGCTCCACACCCCCCACTCAGCTTCCTCTGGTCTGATGCAACCCCCCCCCCCAAAAAAAACAAACCATCCTAGTGGGGTTGTTCTGTGTTAGTGGTGAACAAGTTGATTGAAAAGCTGTGTGTCCACCACATCACAGCGCAGCATCCCTGTGATCCCAGGGCCTGGGGGCTGAGGCAGGGGGGTCACAAGTTCAAGGCCATCCTGAGCACTTAGCAAAACCTTATCTCAAAATAAAAATTAAAGTGCCAGGTGGTGGCCAAGCCTGTCATCCCAGCAGATCAGGAGGCTGAGGCAGGAGGATCCTGAGTTCAAAGCCAGCCTCAGCAATAAGGAGGTGCTAAGCAACTTTCTCTCTAAATAAAGTACAAAAAAGGGCTGGGGGTGTGGCTCAGTGGTAGTGTGTTCCTGGGTTCAATCCCCAGTGCCAAAGAAAAAGGAGAGCTGTGTGCAGAGCTGCCATCGTCAGTAGTCGTGACCAGAAGGCGCAGCTGGAGGTCCATGCTGCCTGCTGTCTGCTGGTGCAGCTGTAGCACCCGGCCTGGGCCTCTGGAGACTGCCAGGGGCCAGGCGCAGGGCCAGGCCCCCGGGAAGGTCCAGGAAGGCCTTCAGGTCTGACCCGTGAGAGCCGCTGGCACAGGAAGGTGGGGTGGCATGCAGCCCGACCTCCACCTCCCCCTGGGCCCTGAGCCCTGCAGCTTCAAGAGGCAGGCACAGGAACCTCGTGACACCAACCAGGGGACATTTTCTCAGCGCAAATGTGTGATGCAGGAAGAGGATGAAAGGACAGGCCGGGTTAGGAGAGAGCTCACGCCTCCCAGGTCCCATGAAGGGTGGCATTCAGAATATATAAAGAGCCCCAGAACTCATCGGTGAGACAAAATGGACAAAAGATGAGAACCGCGTGGAGGAGGTGGCGGCGGGAACAGCGGTCAGACGGCGGGCGCCGACCGACTGCAAGCGCTGTCACAACCAGAGGGCGTCCTTGGCTATTGGCAGGACCAGGGGGAAGAGTCTGGCTGCGGTGCTGGCCAGGCTGTGGGCACTGTGGGAAGCAGCTTGGCGGCTTCTTTAAAAACTGGAAGGTCTGGGTGCAGCTCAGTGACAGGGCACTGGCCTGGCGGGCACAAGGCCTGCCTTTGAGCTCCAGCCCTGCAGGAAAAGCCACAGACCCACAGGGTGAGTGCCAGCTCCACACTGGCTCAGCCCGCGCTCACAGCTCTGGGCGGCACCCAGGACCAGCTGTGAGCAGCACCCCGACTGTGTCCAGGAAACGGACAAGCAGATGTCGCATTCTGTCCCCACGTGGAGTGTTCTCCGCCACACACAGGCACGAGCTGCTGAGCAGTCAGCAGTGCCAGGAGTTGCCACCGTGTGGAACCAACCAAGGACGAGGCAACTTCTGAGCAGGGTGTCCCCCAGGATCCCGGAGAAGGCAGGCCTGTCTCGGCCATCAGAGGGCTTGGGTTTCCTGGGGAAGGGCTGGGAGGCCTCCAGGAATGGCCTGCTAACTGTTGGCGTGGGTGGCTCTGCGAGTGGCCCCTGTTAAAATGCAGGTGGCACACCTCACCTGTGGTATTCACTGTCACTCTAGCGTGGAACTTTCTTTCCTTTTTTGGGGTGCCACCAGGAATGGAACCCAGGGTTTGCACATGCTCGGCAAGCCCCTTCTCTCTGAGCCACACCTCAACCCTTGTTGAAACTTTGAGGCAGGGTCTCGCTGAGTGGCAGAGGCTGCCCTTGTACTGCTGGCCTCGGGTCAGCCTCCTGAGCGGCTGGGATCATTGCTACTAGCCAACATGCTCTCAGAACTGTTGAAGAGTCGGGGTTTCCCTGTAGCCCACAGGACCCTCTCGTGGAAGGTAAGCAGATTGTCGCGTCCACAGGCCGTGCTGTGAGTGGACGAAGAGCGTCACCTGGGAGCCGACCACCAGGAGCTCAGGGTGGAGGCCTTGGCTAAGTCCAGTGGGGTTGGAAGCACCTTCCTCTTGGAGAATCTTCGCTGTCCCCGGCAGTGTCCCCAGCCTGGCCCCGCCAGCCCCATGGCTTTGTCAGTAGCACACAGGAAGAGGTTCTGTTGCGGGGGAAGGTGTCTGCAATGGATTTGGGTCACCTCAAGATACGCGTGTCTGCCGCTCGTGGGAATGGGCTCTCTCCTCCTGTCCCACAGGGTTGGTTTTGTCCTGTGACGCTGTATTGACAGTTACTTTAGGAAACCAATCCGCGTGCAAAAAGTGAATAATGGAATATTTTGAATATGAAATTCATAACTGTGCACACGTGAAGTGACTGCATGCCACCACCTTGTCCAGATTCACCATTCAGGAAATGGCATCGCTCAGTCGGGCTGGGGGTGCGGCTCAGTGGAAGAGCGCTTGCCTGGTCTGCGTGGGGCCCTGGGTTCGATGCCTACTACCATAAGAAAAAATAATGAAGTAGCTAAAGCCGTCCAAGAGAAACTTCCCTCGCTGTACGTGATGAAAAGGGAGAAGGACGCGGAAGGATCCCAGGGTCTGAGACACCTGCGGTGCCTGAGGAGCTGCTCTGACTTGATCACTTTAGGAAGGAGAGCTCTGGGTGCCGAGGTGCACCTTGACCCCAGCTGTTCAGGAGGCTGGGCAGGAGAATCTCGAGTTCCAGGCCAGCCTCAGCAAGCTGGCCAGACCCTGCCTTAAAATAAAAAGGGCTGCAGGTGGGGCAGGGCTATGGCTCAGCTGGAGTCCTCACCTAGCCCTGGGGCAGCCGGCAGGTAGGGGTGGTCCATCCCTCAGCACCGCATAAAAATAAACAAGTAAACAGGAGGGGCTGGAGGAAGCCCAGTGGGAGAGCACCTGCATGCTGTCCTGCCTTAAAAGTCCATTTTGCATCTCAAAGCGTTAACCTCCTGAGTGTCTTATCCTAGCAGCAGAGGATGAGTTTGACAGCTATTTTTGTAATTGAGTTTTTGTTTTATATCAGACTGTGTGTGTGTGTGTGTGTGTGTGTGTGTGTGTGTGTGTGTGTGTGTGGTTTAGATGTTGGCTTTGATGTCACTTTGGTGGCTGGCCTCCCGTGGCTCTTCTTCAGTCCAGGTGCAGGTGCTTCTAGGGCCAAGACGTGGCTTGAGAGCGTCCACAGCTCTGTCCCAGGAGCCTGCTCTCCCTGACCCTGGATCTCTGAGATTGGTCTGTTTTGGGAGGGCTCTGGTGGTGTCTGGGAAGGCACTTAGGGGTTAGACCGTTTGTGAGACTTCCTGTTAGAGTTCTCCTTGAATGTCCAGCCTGATGCTTGGTAATGGACTTGAGGCTGGCCGCCATCATCTACAGGAAGCTGGAGCTCTGCTCTCTGCTGCTGGTTGCCTTGCGGGGTTGCAGTGGAGAAGCATCTGTTCTGGCTCCTGCCCTGGGCCGAGCGTGGCCACTTCTGTACACTCTGGAGGTGTGTGTTTTCGGGAGGTGAGCTTTGGTGCAGGTCTGCCCCATACATCCTGTCGGGCTCTTACCCTGAGACTTGGGTCCATACGTGGAGACCTTCCCTTAGTGACTTCTCATTTTCTCTTCTCCTTTGCTGGCCTGCTTGGAATTCCTGCTGTCTGCGTGTGGCCCCCCACATTCCCTCTGTCTCCCTGAGGCTGCCCTGTCCGTCTGGGGTCTCTGGGGTCTTGTGCTCTGTTGTGTGGAGAATCACCTCATCTCCGTCCCCTCTGCTGCCCTGGGTTTCATTTCAGAAAACTCTCGGCTCAGCCAGGCACGGTGGAGCACGCCTGTGGTCCCAGCAGCTCAGGAGGCTGAGGCAGGAGGATCGTGAGTTTGAAGTCAGCCTCGACAACTTAGCAAAACCCTGTCTCAAAATTCAAACTAAAAACCCAGCTGGGGATGTGTCAGTGGCCAAGAGCCCCTGGGTTCAGGCCCTGGTACAATAGACAAAACCAAACAGGCCCTTACTGCCCTTCTCTCCCAGCCTCCCGTTCCTGGGTCCTGTAGCTCTTTGAGAACGTGAAGGGTGTTTGTGCTTTTAACAAGAGAAGAGGGTCTGTGCCTTCCCCAGGTGCTTAGTTCTGTTGGTCAGCCTCACTCTTCCCTTGGGACTGGGGACAGTCGGGGCCCTGGGCCGCCTGCTCTCCCAGGGGTTCAGTGTGAGCTGTAGACAGGGCCACCCCCGGGGCATCTGGCTGGCCTTTTGCTGGTGCAGAGTGGGGCTCCAGAGGGTGGTGCTGTGTGGGGAAGTGACACAGGAGAGCCAGGCCCTGTGTGTGACGGAGCCCAGGCGTGTCTGTGTGTCGGGTGACCTCCCATCGTGTCAGTCTGCGTGCTGGTTCTCGGGAGGCAGCAGGGAGCCCTGTGGCCAGTGGTCGGTGGGTCTTGGGCTGGGTGACAGAGGTCAGCTGATGTGGCATGCGTCTCTCGCCTCCATGGCCCTCCTGGGGCTGCCCGCCTCATTGCTGTGGGCTGAGTGGGCAGCGGGGCCAAGCGTCAGGGCCGAGGTGGCCCCAGGGTGGTGGGCTGGTCTGAACCCTGCTGTGCAGCGCCCCTGCAGATTAGGTTTCTGTGCCCTGTGCTCTGCTGGGTTTCCTCTGTGTCCACCTTGGGCACTCGTTGAGAATAGTAGTGTTACGTGTGGAGCAAATTGTCACACATGAACGTCCGTGCCAGCCTTGTCGTGTGGCTGTTGGACCGCATCTGTGTTGGCTGTTGCCTCTGTGTGGTGTGGGTGGGTGGGGAGCAGGAGGAGGAGTCTGACTGCAGCCCCCCCCCAGCACGGCAGCAGGGCTCTGCCAGCCCCTCCCAGGGGCACAGGTGTTGGCCCTGCTGTGCGTGGTGCAGTGCGGCTCTGGGCTGGGGAGCTCGCGGGTGGGCCTGCAAGCCCAGCTTCCCTCCAGGGCATCCGCCGGGGGCACGCCTGGCAGCAGGCAGGCTGGGGCATGTGTGGGGACTGCGGGCTCTGGGAGGCCCAGGACCCTTCCTCTCCTGCACTGCATGATGGCGTATGTGGTGGGAAGAGATTGGTGGGACCTGTGGTCTAGAGAAGCCCTCCGGCCCTCCCAGCCAGGCAGGGAGGCTCGGCTCTGGCCGCTGTGCGGAAGGGTGACAGTGGGGTGACAGTTGAGTTCTCTGCTCTGAACCAGGGCAAATGTAGTATCTCAATTTTACTAGAAACACTGGGTCGTTTTATTGCCTGCCTGGGGCGCTCCAGTGCTTCTGGACCTGGTGAAGTTTGCATTTGGTGGTGTTCACTCTTGGCCACCTCTATCTCCCCGAGGCTGCCCTGTCTGATCCCTGTGGCCACTCAGAGTCAGCATGTCAGCTCGGGCTGCTCTCTGTGAAGAGGCTCTGGCAGCCACAGTGCCCCTCGTTCAGGTCTAGTGGTACCCAAGCCAGCTGCACTGGTCTCACCTGGGATGACACGAGTCACCAGCCCATGACAGGAGCTCCCTGGGACTCTGCGTTCAGGCTGGGCAGGAAGAAGGCACTCGGGGTAGACATTTGGCCACTGGGCACACAGACCTTCTGCCAGCCAGCCCTTTCGGGTCTTCCCACTGGACTCTCCAAATTGACTTGTCCCCGTCCCTGTACTGCCCCCCCTTCGTGGAATCATGGATGTACTTACACGTGACCCCCCTGGTTCTGCCAGTGACCCAGTGGACTCATGGTGTCCCTGTGTCTACAGCACCTGCTGCAGCCCGGATGCTTGCTTTCAGGTGAAGGGGCCGAGTTCCGGGAAGCGCTGATTGTGCACCCAGTGTAACGTGGAGGCCCTGGAGGAAGCGAGCCTGCCATGGGCAGAGCAGGCTGAGACTGGGCTGGCATCCTGGGTGGCTTTTGAATATTGCATAAAGCAGGGTGCTAAGCTTGGGGGCGAGTCGTGTGGCGCTCCTTTTGGTGGCAAGGGGAGCAGGCCTGCATGTTCCACTTTTCCCAGATGCTTGCTGACCCTGTGCCACCATCAACACCTGGCCATGTGTGCTGTGAACTGAGGATGTGGCGTCTGTTTTTAAGGTTTGTTTGTTTGTTTGTTTTTAAGGTCTTGTGGTCTGATTCTTCAGTAACATCAGTAACCAAATCTTCCTCAGAAGTGACTGAATTTATTTCAAAGGTAAGGTGATTCAGGCTCCTATAACAAAGGGCTCCTTTCCCAGTAACTGCGCATCCTGCAGCGTGACTGCGGGGTCTCCTCCTGTCCTGTGAGCGGCAGTCGGGGGTCTGCTTTGGACAGGCTGCAGCAGTGAGCCCCGGCCTGGGCCCTGGAGCTGGGGAGACAGGCAGAGCTGCCCCTGGCATGGCGGCTGGGGCGCTTCTGCTTTTTCCACCCAGGTTTCTTGGGCAGAGACTGAGGGCGAGGGTCCTGCTCAAGGGCTGAGCAGACAGATGCCCCTCATTCTGACTTTTACACACATGGGGTTTTCCCTTTTCATTTTTAAGTTGGTTCAACAAGTGACTTTTGAGCAGAAAGCATCACTGCTAACAGACGCCATGGGCCTGCACACACATGTGCTGCAGTGCACTCTCTGGCACTGGCCAGGCCACGGTGGGGACCCCTGCCTGGGCCAGTGTCAGACCTTCCCTCTGCTCCCTTTCAACAATGGGCGGCACATCCAGGGCCTTCCCCAAGTGGCTCTTGCACTTCCATTGTGAAAGCGAGGCCCATCCCTGGGGAGGACACTGGGTCGCAGGCCACGCCCTCACTGCAGGAGTGGGAGATGCTGCTGGTGCTTGTGTGGTGGCCGCCAGGCAGCAGGAATGCAGGCCTATGCCCTCGGGTCCAGATCCATCCCGGGACACACATCACCCTGTGTCTCCTCCCCTGTGCCCTGTGCCCTGCTCCCCACTGTGCAGCAGACACTCCTCTGCAGTCACTTCTGTCCCTTGACCCTGGCTGGTCGCGGGGCATTTCACCGCCTCCAACGTGCTTTGGGAGGCTCCTGCTCGGCACCTTCCCTTGGCTCTGGGGCCTCCTGTCTCCTCCTCGGCCTCTGAGGCCTCTGCTGTCCTTGCTGTGGGCTGGCTCTGGGTTGCAGTTTGGACAGTTTCTCGTGCTCAGTGCTGACATCTGCTGAGTGTCCCTCACCCTGTCCTGGCTGCAATGAGCCTGTTGGTTTGTGTCCCCTCTTGGGCCAGGCTCGTGTCCTGTTTGGCCTGCTCATCTGTGGCAGGGCCCAGCCCTCTGTGGAAGGCGCCCTGTTTCGCACGGTCCTGTGGGATGCTCACATGGCTGCTCCGCTCTGCTCTGGGTCCCCCGGAGTCTGGCCCTGGTGATGGCTTTGTGTCTCCTGTTCAGTGTTTGGTGCTGGGCTGCACCAGGGCCGCTCTGCCACTGGGCTGCGTCCTCGTCTCTTCTAGATTTTGTTTTGAGACAGGGTCTCACTAAGTTGCTGAGGCTGGCCTTGAACGCGCATCCTCCTGCCTGGTCTCAGCTGGACCACGGGTGGCCACCGCGCCTGGCCAGCTCTGTCTTGAGTTTAGCCCCTTGGCTCTGTGCCCTGCACCTCTGGTCACTGGGCATTTTGGTGGCAAGTGTGAGGCTAAGGAAGTGGCACTTGTGCCTGCAGTGGGCCTTCTTTTCTGCTGGCCCTCAGGAGCTGGCCCTGGGAGTGTCACCATGGTCACCCTGGGGCAGCTCCGGCACAGGGCCACTTACCTGGGGTGTTGGGGTTCTCCTGGCCTGCTCCACCCTCAGCTGCTGTCACCTGTGGGGCCTGTGGGGGGAGGGCCCTCCTCTGCAGCCCAGCCTCGGTTCCGGGTGTGGGCCTTTGTGCTGGACCGTGGGGTCTCGTCCTCCTCAGCACCCTCGTCCGTCCCCAGCGGTAGCTGCTGCCCTGTGTGGGGCAGGGTCCTGGGCTGGTGGGGGATTCGTACCCCTCCACCAGGGCCAGAGGGCGTTTGCTTTCCCCTTCTTCCAGGGCAGTGGCCCTTCCCTGTGGCCTGGTGACAGAGGCAAGAGCACATTTCCTCATCTCAGCCCAGAGGCTGGATGTGTGCTTGGCCCCGGGCCAGGAGCACTTCTTCCCTCCCTCGTGTTAAGGGCTCTTGCCTTGGACAGAGAGGCCGGGGGAGGCGCAGAGGTCTGGTCTGTGGAAGAGAGCTCCCGAATGAGGATGTTCTCCCGCTCGGGGCCTGGCCACCCACGTGTGACCTGCTCACCTGGGGGAATGTGCCGTCCGGCCATCCTCCTCTGTTCTGCCTGTGTAGCCGCCCCTCTTCCTCATGCCGGGCCACTGGGGAGCCGATGGCTTGAGGGTCCTGTCTTTCCTGAGGGTGGTCCCTGTGTGACCCTGGATCCAGCAGGTGGTTCTGCTTCCCAGCCTCTGCAGGGCTCCTGGAGAGGAAGGGCCAGGGGACTGTCGGGCTCTGCGGCTGGGGGTGTCCTGCAGTGTCTTTCTGCTCCGTGAGTGCATGGAGGATGCAGGATGGCTTGACTGGTGTCAGTCCTGTCTTGCCAGCAGAGGACTTGGGTGGAGCCCTGGTGTGTGGCTGGTTCTGATGCCCCTCCTGGCCTGTCCTCTATTTCAGTTGTCTCAGCTCTGCCCTGAAGAGAACTTGGAGAAACTCATTCCCTGCCTGGCTGGCTCAGACCCCTTCTACGTGGAGAGGAACCACGTGGATCTGGAAGCGGGCCTGAGGTGGGTGAGGCTCCTGGCTAGGTCTTTCCGGGTCCTGAGCAAGCCGTTGGCCACGCGGCTGCCCCCAGGTGGCTGCCCCCAGGTGGCTGCCCCCAGGTGGGTCTCCCGCTGCCTGCAGGATTCTCCTCAGTCTTAGAAGGCTCTGGACAGCCTCTGGGCGACTTTGAGTGGATGAGTGAAGGGATTTTGAAGCCTGCACCACCCCCTTACTGTGCCTCTGAGAGCCTCTGAATGTCGTGCGTGTGTGGCCACTGAGTGCACGCCGCCCGTCACGTGGGTCCTGTGCAAGGAGCTGCTGTCCTGCTCCCGGGCCACCATCCTCATGTCCTGTGACCTGGCACACAGGGGGCAGCGGGTGGAGGCTTGCTTTCATTGCTCATGTCACAGGCCTAGCAAGGAGGACTCCCGGCAGCAGGCAGGATGTGGGTTATGACATGCTGCCTATTTTTCTCAAACATCTACTTTTCTTAATTGAAAGTTAAGACCGTGCTCCCAGTAGTGACCATTAATGCCTTTTTGACGATGAAAGCCCTTTGCTTAACTTGTAGGTATTTGGCCTCGCTGCCTTCTCATGTATTGAAACATGACCACGTTAAGAAGTTCTTCAGCTCTTCATCTCCCACCCAACAGCTTCAAAGTCCAAGTGAGTTTGTAAAACGGTTCAGAAAAACATAAGCATTTCCATTGTCTGAATTTCTCTGACACGTCTTTTTCTAACTTGCAGGTCCTGGCAACCCCTCCCTTCCGAAAGTGGGTGCCGTGATGGGAGTGTCTGGCAGGTGAGCGGGGGCAGCCACCCCACCTCACGCCTGCCCTGGCTCTAACTGTGCCAGCAGTTGCAGAGTGAGGTCCTTCCCAGTCTGAGTCGTGAACGACGTCGCGAGGACTAGGCTAGAGATAGTGTGATTCGTGCTGTCCTCAAAATGCTGAGTAGTCACTGTGGGTTTAGGTCTATCAGGACCTTCTTGTGATTTTTGACTAACAAACTAGGCCTCCCAGCCAGAGGTCCGTTGGTGATGGACATGTACACAATGTGCATGCACACAGGTATGTGGGTGCACACAGGTATGTGGGTGCACGTGTCTCTGTTGCACACAGGGCACCCCATAGCAGTCTCACCATAAGCAGGTGGTTGAGATGGGGGCTGGAGAGGGCGCTGGTATTTCCAGAGTTTATGGTAGGCTGGACAGCGTGTGCCAGGCAGGAGTGGGGGCCATCAGGAGAGTGCCCGGTGCCGGTGAAGTCTTGGAAAACAGTGTTTCTGTGGCCCTGCCTGTCTTCTGTCCTGCAGGCCTGTGTGTGGAGTGGCCGGAATCCCGTCCTCCCAGAGCGGCGCCCAGCACCATCTGCAGCACTCGGCCAGCGCAGCTGCTGCCTTGCCTCACTGCTCCCACGCCGGGGGCGCGGGCTCGGCACTGGCCTACCGGGCCCAGGTGGACGCCCCGCCTGCCATCCTGATGCCCTCCAGTCTGCAGGCCCCTCAGCCCCAGGAGCAAAATGGGATTTTAGACTGGCTTAGGAAGCTGCGCTTACACAAGTATTACCCTGTCTTTAAGCAGCTCACCATGGAGAAGGTATGCAGGCTCCTGTGTGGGCAGTGCTCCTTTAGCTGCCTGTATCCTGACCTTGTCCCTGGAGGTCATGTGGAGTAGAGGAACTAAGGTAGAGATCACGCGGCCCGGATCTGTTGTGAACAGGCAGGTCGCTGCATATGTAGTTCCAGGGATCCACCCACAGCACCCTGAGACCAGTGTGGCCCCATGCAGAGTCCCGCTGTGGACAATATCCACCACACTCATCTGTCCACATCCTGTGTAGCCCATGCCCTCAGCCCAGCCACTGAAATGGGGCAGGCTTCGAGCAGTGGATGCAGCTTCTTTGAGGCATATATTCACAGAATTGGTTTTTATAATAGAGCAGTGGATCAGGAACATTGTTCCCTTGTTAAGATTCTGAAGTGTTTCTAGTCTGCATGCCACTGATGAAATTAACCCATGCAAGGTATCTGGACTCTGAACTCCCCCCGCTGGACAGGACAGGTTGGTAGCTGCAAGTTTCATGTGTCCAAAACCCAGCTATTGAACCTAGAAATCAAGTTTTTACTACAAAGTGAAATGAAGTTTTTTTTTTTTTAAGTATATTTGTAATACTGTCTGTTTTGGATTTATGAATGTCTTAAAAATGAGATCCTGTTACCTAGGGGTGGTGGTACAGCCCTGTAATTTGAGCCAGTTGGGAGGCTGAGGTAGGAGGATCACAAATTCAAGGCCAGACTGGACAACTTATCAAGGCCCTGTCTCAGAAAACAAACAAAAAAACAAAATTAAAAAAACCATAAAAAGGACTGAGGATGTAACTCAGTAGTACAGCACCCCTGATTCAGTCCCCGCCCAAAAGAGAGATGACTGATCAGTTTTAAGTTTTTCTAATGGGCATGTGGGTTGAAATGGCTAGATTGCAGAGCAGGTTGTGGTGCGAGGTGAGAGCCAGAGTACCTGCTGCCCCGTGGACGGCCCCCGCGACCCTGCAGAAGTGAAGGTGCCCTTGAGGGAGGACTGTCTGCTTATGACCGTCTGCTTATGCTCCCGGCACAGAGGCTGGCGTGTGCCCAGGGGACCGTGTCTCCCTAGGGCTGTCCTGGGGGGTGGGGTGCTGCTGCCAGGGACAGCTCTGTGGCAGGTGGAACTGTGACTTCTCCAGTCATTTGTCCACGTAGCTCACCCATGCTGGTGACTGGCCTGTGCCGAGCAGAGGGCCACATGGTGCCCCTCACGCGACATCTGTGCAGGTCTCTGCTGAAAAGGTGCGTGAAATAGTGGACAGTTCACACCAGGTCACTTAGTGAGGGGACGATGTCCTGTCCCCAAGTCCTCTGTTAATGGCTTAGGCTTGATGTGTCAATAGGCCCTGGCCATGTCACTTTTAGCCCCGAGTCCTTGGTTTCCGGTTCCGAGTCTCAGTAACTCTGTCATTGGTTTCTCCCATGCAAGTTTTTGAGCCTTACTGAGGAAGACCTCAACAAGTTTGAGTCCCTGACCATGGGCGCCAAGAAGAAGCTCAAGACTCAGCTGGAGCTCGAAAAGTAAGCGTGGGGTGGTTTTCTAAACGTGTCTTCATGACTCGGGAGGCTGAGGCAGGAGGCCTGCAAGTTCAAGGCCAGCCTGGGCAACTTAGCAAGCCCTGTTGCTAAGTTGAATAAAAAATAAAAAGGATTGGGATGTAGCACTTAGGTTCAACCCCTAGTCCTGCGAAAACAAAAGAAAGCACAGTAGCGATGATAGTGTATACTTTAATGATGTGATGATAACGAATTCATTAAAAAATTAACACTGTTCAGGTGTGGCCTTGGCATGGCAGGAAAATCAGAGTGAGTCCCTTTTAGCCTTCGGCGTGGGTCTCGTGGAGCCGAGGTCTGAGGGCAGTGTAGGAACCAGGAACCCAAGTGGACACTCGCTGTTCCCCACCTTGTTCTGCAGGGAGAAGTCAGAGCGGCGGTGCCTGAACTCTTCGGCCCCGACCTTGGTCACCAGCAGCGGAGTGGCCCGAGTGCCCCCCACCAGCCACGTGGGGCCCGTGCAGGCCGGGCGAGGTGGCCATGCTGCAGGTGCGGAGGCTCACAACTGGGCCGCCCTTGGTGTGCAGGTGGCGAGGTGCCTCACGCCACGCTTGCGTGCCACTGGCAATGTACTCTTCAGGCCAGCCTTTCTCTGTTGGACTTCCATGGGGACCAGGAATGATAGGAGGGAGGCTCATGGGGGCTTGTCTGAAACCGTTTGGGTAGAAGAATTAGATGCGCAGCTGCCAAGCTGACAGGAGCTCGGGAGGTGGCCAGGATGAACCTGCCCGGGGTTCACGTGACCACAGCAGCCAGTCCCCCAGCCATGCTCCTCTCCCTCCCTCTTTGGGAAAGGCTGGGACACCTGTGCGGTGGCTCCTTGTCACAGGGTGGAATGGATTCTCCTTCACCCAGTACAAGTAGCAAGAGAAGCCTGAGGGAAGGGCAGGTGCCAGGTCTGTTCCCAGCTGCTCGGCCTGGTCTCTGTGGAGGCCAGCAGCACCCAGCCCTGCAGACATGTGTCCGTGGTCCGGGGGGAGCGGGGCACCGCCCCACAAGGCCGTGGGCAGTGGGAGGGGAGGCTCCGACTGTGGTGGCAGTTGTCCCTGCCTTCTTGGGTGTGCCCAAAGGGCTCCCCTCTGGGTGGTGTCTGAGAGTGGGCTGGTGCTGGCTGGCACCCTGCCAGCCCCCTGTACTGGACATGGATGCCACCTGAGGTGACCTGTGCCTTCTCCGCAGAGCTGCGGGTGGAGGTGGAGCCGCCCACCCACCAGATGCCCCGGGAGGGCAGCTCCTCAGAGTACTCGAGCTCCTCCTCCAGCCCCATGGGTGTGCAGGCGCGGGAAGAGAGCTCGGACAGCGCGGAGGAGAACGACAGACGTAAGGCACCCGCTTGACCAGCTGTGCTGCCCGCCCTGTCCTGGTTCGCATGGCGGTGACTGCTCTTTTCTGTCCCCAGGTGTGGACGTGCACTTAGAGGGTTCTGATAAGGAGAAGCCCATGATGCTGCTGAGTCACTTCCCCTCGAGCTCTGCCCGACCCACGGCCCAGGTCTTGCCTGTGCAAAACGAGGCTGGCTGCGGCCCGGCAGGCCACCACCCTCTGCCCCCACAGCTGTTACCCACAGCCTCGCACCTGGCACCCATCAGAATGCTGAGTGCAGTGCACAAATCGGACAGAGGTGGCGCTGACGGGAAGCTCCTCTCGTCCTCGGTGCACTCGCTCTTGTCTTTGGAAGAGAGGGGCAAAGGGCCTGGCCCAAGGAGTGGCATTAAAGTGGACAAGAGCTTCGGCAGTGCTGTGCTCGACGCCCTGCCCTCGTCCACGCCCCATCCCCCCGTGCAGGTCCTCTCTGGACTCTCAGAGGGCAGCTCCGTGTCACCCACTGTCTCCTTTGGGCCCCGGGCCAAAGTTGTGCACGCAGCCACTCTGGACAGGGTGCTGAAGACGGCGCAGCAGCCAGCCCTGGCAGTGGAGACCAGCACAGCAGCCACAGGGACGCCCAGCACTGTCCTGCACGTGGCCCGGCCGCCCATCAAGCTGCTGCTGTCATCCTCCGTCCCTGCCGACGCTGCTGTCTCTGGGCAGACGTCCTGCCCCAACAACGTGCAGATCAGCGTGCCGCCTGCAATAATCAACCCCCGGACCGCTCTGTACACAGCCAACACCAAAGTTGCCTTCTCCGCAGTGAGCAGTGTGCCCGTGGGCCCTCTGCAGGGCGGCTTCTGTGCCAACAGCAACACTGCCTCCTCCAGCAGCCACCCCTCCACCTCCTTCGCCAGCGCAGCCACGCTGCCCAGCTGCCCCGCCCCCAGCTCCAGCCCCGCGCTCTCCTCCGCCCCTGAGAGCAGCTTCTACAGTGGTGGTGGCTCTGCAGGAAACATTCCTTCCTCAAGTCAGAGTCACCACCACCACCACCACCATCAGCAGCCCCCGGCCCCCCCAGCCCCCGCGCCGCCCCCACCCGGCTGCATGGTGTGCACGTCCTGCGGGTGTAGCGGCAGCTGCGGCTCCAGCGGCCTCACCGTGAGCTACGCCAGCTACTTCCAGCACCCCTTCTCCGGGCCCTCCATGTTCACCTTCCCGTTCCTGCCCTTCAGCCCCGTGTGCAGCAATGGCTACGTCAGCCCCCAGCAGTACGGGGGCGGCTCCACCTTCCCCGTTGTGCACGCCCCCTACAGTGGCAGCGTGACTCCCGACCCTGTCCTGGGCGGGCAGTCCACATTTGCTGTGCCACCAATGCAGAACTTCATGGCCGGGACAGCAGGGGTCTACCAGACCCAGGGACTGGTGGGAAGCAGCAACGGCTCCAATCACAAAAAGAGTGGGAATCTGTCCTGTTACAACTGCGGGGCCACAGGGCACCGCGCCCAGGACTGCAAGCAGCCGTCCATGGACTTCAACCGGCAAGGTAAACACACGTGCCCCCTGAGCACTGCACCCAGCTGGGCGTCCCAGGGCAAGCCACTGCCCGCGGCCGGCAGGTGCCGCAGACCACTGGAGAGACACACGTGCTCGGCTTTATGAAAATAATAGTCACCTCTCTTCTTTTTAGTTTTATTTATTTGTGTCTGTGTGAGTGGTACTAGAGAGGGAACCTAAGTGCTGTGTCACCGAGCCACATCCTCAGCCCTGTTTATTTTATTCTTTTTATTTTTTTTGAAACAGTCTTGTTAAGTTGCCCAGGCTGGCCTGGCACCTGTGATCCGCCTCCCTCGGGCTTCCCAGGTGCTGGGATCACAGGCATTTGCTACTTCCCCTGGATTAAACTTCTTTGTCTTAGAGCTGAAAGTAATTTTTAAAACCTTTTTGAAACAGCATGAAGAGGTAGATGATGCCGTAAGAGCCCCAGAGGGGTATCCTGGCTCTGAGTGTTTCCTCATATCCGGGGCCCTGTGGGCTCTGGGTCTTGCCGTGGGAGTGGTTAGGATGTGGCAGTCTAGACCTAGGAGCCCTGCCGCCCTGCTGTCTGCACCTGGGGTATGGCTGTGTGCTGGTGGCGGGTGGCCTCTCGCCAGGCTGTCCCTCTTGCCTGCCTGGCTTTTGTGTTCCTTGTGTCCTCTAGTCCTTGATTTCACGTGGGTCTGACGTACTCTTTACACCAGGTTTATTCTTGCTATGTGTTTTGGAAGGGTTGACCTGGGGACTGGGAAAGCTGGTCCCAGCTCTGACCATGAAGTGCAACCTTGAGAAGTCACCGTCTCTCTAGATTTCCAGCACCTTCTTTTGAGGTTGCACACAGACTTGCCTGTTTGTCCTCACCACCCAGAGAGCTTTCAGAAACCAGCACCTGTAACCTGGGAGGTCCAGTCAAAGGCTGGGCGGTGGCCGTGGGCTCTGCACCTGCATCCTGTGCCCCACCCCCACCTCAGGGATCTCCCAAGGCATGCCCAGCTGGCCGGGCCTCCCCGTTTTCTCTGGCCCCTCTGTCCCTGGGTGGGTCTGAAGACTTGTGAGATGACTTCATTGTGTGGGGGGTGGGAGAGGCTGGTCAGGCTGTCTACATCTCCAGCCCCAAGTCCTGCCTGGAGACTCTGGAGGCCACGGCACAGGTCGGTGGTCTTGTGATTCTGCAGTGATTCAAATTTGCCTCTTTTTTCTTTCTCTCCAGGTACTTTTAGGTTGAAATATGCCCCTCCAGCAGAAAGTCTGGACTCCACAGACTGATATTTTTCTCTGGCAACAGAACATTATTAAGCCATGGAGACATAAGAAAAGTTAAATACAAAACTGAGACGTCTAGTTGCTGTTGAGCTTAATATTTTTAATCCAAAGGTGCTTTACTTTACTAGACTGGATAGAAAATCTAGTGTAGAAGTGCATCAAACCCAATTTTATTGCCAAAACCCTAGATTGGAGCTTGATGTCAGGACTTGCCTCGGGGCACCTCCGTGCCCGTGTCGGTGACTTGTCCACCTCCACCCTGGCTGCAGTGCAGAGACCTCCTGTCTCCCAAAGAACATCGCATCGCTGGTCCTTCTAGGCTCACACAGTTCCAGGGCAGCTACGCGCGACCTGATCAGACTGCAGGTCCAGGTCCTCCAGTGGGTCCCCCAGATGGACTCAACACCCCTGGGTTAGGGAAAATGTCAACTTTGTTTTGCTTTACTTTTTTCCTAAAGTGATAGGCACTAATCTCTGGGATTTCTAAGGATTGCACTACAGAAGAATGTACCTGAGGTAGCCCTCTGCAGACTCCTGAGTCCCGTCAGGGCAGACCTGGCTGCGGTGGAGTTGGCACAGCGGGTACGTGCCAAGCATGCAGCCAGGTCTTAGTACGTCCTTCCTCCTGCAGACAGATGTAAACGATGCTAGTGAGTGGAAACTGTTCATTCTCAGCTCCATTTCTAAGGGTCCAGGAGTCGTTGCTGAGGCTCGAGACTGGCCCTCCCCACCGCACCCAGGCGGCTCCGAACTGCTCTCCACAGAGACAGCAGCAGAGCAGCTCGGCTCTGTGGGCTGCATTCCCAACTCCACTTGCTGGTCGTCACCATCTCACATGTGCTCCAAGGACCCGGCCCCAGGGCTTCCTGCTGATGTGTGCACACTCAGTGGGGCCTTTCAACAGCAGTCCAGGCCTGTGGCTCGTGAGCAGAAGATCTGACCTCTCCTGTCACTTTTTTTTTTTTTTTTTAAAGGCTGTGTATTGATAGCTAATTCCGTTAAAAATTGCCTGGAAAACTTCAGTATAAGGCAAAGAGACAGAGAGAGCACAGACCAGACGCAGCCTGGGACTGGGAGAAGTCCTGTTTTAAGTAGGAAATAGCGCCCCTTGCTATAGATGTCCACATCTCAGCCCTTTGGAATGGAAGCATCTGGGGACTTAGCCCTCGAGGATAAAGGGAATCTTCTGCTCATGTGACATTATTTAACCTTCAATAGTAACATTGGTCGGCAGAGTCTTGCCAGGGATCTTCCAGTTGAATATTGAGAAGAAAAATCACAATATTCAGACCATTCTGTATTAAAATGGGACAATCAGCTTCATACAAAATTAGTATAAATCAAAAGAATGCCCTGGAATGTAAGGCATTTGAGTATGAGGCTTCAAATTTTAGATTAGTTTCCTGGCTTTGTGGAAACTAAAGCAGAAAGTTGTTACATTTTTTATGAAAGGCTTTTAGTAGAGTTTTGTAGTATTATTTTAGTAGAGTTTTATTTCTATGCAATGCAGAATTGACAGACCTCTGTATTCTTCTCTATTCATGGTACACAGTATTACATACAGTTCTGGAAGTAACGGTGATGCCTCTTATGACAGCTGTTAGGGAAGGCTTCACAGATCTCTTAACCCAACACTACAAAACATCAAATATCAAGAGCTGACACAACTTTGCCTTAAAGAGCACCAGACTGGAGTTGGTCCTGTTGTGTTCAAGAAGACTAGAGTGTTCATCGATGTTTACGATTTTAATACTTCTGAAGGCCGTCACAGTGGCCTGGATATGTGCTGAAAGCCAAACTTTTAAATTTTTTGGTTTTTTAAACAAAGAAATATTTTAAATAAATCCTATTTCAACATAGTGAAATTGTTGAAAACTGTCTCATAGCAAAAGAAGAAAACCTTATTTAAGTCTTTGTTTTAGTGTCAGTATAGTGGAATGAAAGTGTCGTTGTTACCCTTAGGACTGTTTTGATAAATATTAGAGGTTAACCCCAATGTAACAAAAACTTAGAATAGAAGCTTCCGTCTGAAGTGTGACACTCAGTGTGCGGTGCGTCAGTCCAGACCTTGCCATGGCTGGGTCCCTGCCTCGGAGCACCCCGGTTGTCTTTGAAGGTGAGTGTGTGGTGTGAGGTCGTCAGGAGGCTGCGCAGTCAGGAACCAGGAGACCCAGCGTGAGAGCAGCGCGCAGAGGGAATCCCGCCCACCCACAAGCCTGTGCCAGGGGCAGCCGTGTTTGGACACGAGGACCTTGGCTAGCAGTTACCGCTGATGAATCTTTCTCCAAAGCAACCAAAGTCAGTAAGCCCGAAGAGCACCTTGCACTTCACCGGAGTACTCCACCATCGGTCGAAACCACAGCATCCTGGCCCTCTGGAGCCACCCAGAACTGGGTGGGCGAGCGTGGCGCTGTGCTCTTCGGAGCCCGCCACGTGTTCAAGCTTCTATCCCTGTGTTTTAGCTCCAGGAATGGAGACAGTGGAATGTACAGATCCAAGTAGAACAGTGCCAGGATAGAACTGTTTAACCTTTCTGTTTTTTTTTAAGCAAAATACTCGATTTTTCTACCTTATTTTTTAATTTTTATTTCACAGTAATATGGAAAATTGGAAAGTGTTTAATGTTAAACTCCTAATTGCTGAAGAGCACTGAGGAAATGGGAGCTAGCACTTACAATAATTAAGACAGAGCATTCTCTTGAGCGCACAAGTGACTGGGTGTTAACAGGCCAGCATCACCCGCGTCTCCCGAGGGAGTGGGCTTGTCCACAGCTGCGGTCTTCATTCAGGGTGGAGCATGCCGGCCCTCTCTGCCATCGGGCCCTGGTGGTGCTCCTTGTGGGCACAGGCCGCCGGGCCCTCTCCGCACCCCTCCCGTCCCTCGCTGCTTCCCGGTGTTGTCTGATCTAGTCCACCTCCAGGTAACTGCCGGCCATGAGGGAACCGTCTCCTGCTCAGCCTCGTCCCTAAGGATGCTCCTGTGGAACCTGAGCAGCTGGCTGTGCTTCCCAAAACGCAGGTGACTTCCAAGGAACATGTCAGGTGACACTGAAAGCCATGGGTCGGAGGAGGCTGATGCTGGACAGTCCCAGGCTGAGCGAGGTCTCTGGTCCGCTCTTGCAATACTCCAGAAAACCACCTACTGTGCTGGTGAAAGCCACGAGGCCGGCCACCACCCTGCTCACACGGGTCGGGAACGGTGGCCACACGGGTCATTCCTCCTGTGCGCAGAGATGAGGCGTTGGTGCCGAGACTGAAACCTCCGCAGCTTCTATTGGACATGCTTTCTTTTTAGGAATGAAGGAATATCTCCCATTTTTGAGCCATTCTTTTGTCAATTCTACAAAATTGCATGTAACTTTATAAATATTTTTAAAAGATATAGTTTTGTAAATATTTAATATTCCGCTAATTTGATTTTGAATTGTAAATGTCAAGTATTCTGTTTTTGGGGTTTTTATGTTTTATTATACTTTGTTAAAAAGGAAAAATTGTACATTTTTAGAATGTTTTTATGAGTAAATTTAATGTACTGAAAATAAAAATTAAAAAAAAGTCTCAGCAGTTGTATCGGGTCTCTTACCCTAGAACACAGCACACACATCCTTTCAGACAGCTCAGTCCACCTCAGGGCTCTCCATCTTTTTCCCAGAGTGACAGTGTGGACACTGGGTCTCACTCATGTCCACCCATACTCAAGCGCTGCCCCTGGTTGAAGTCCTGCTGGAGGGGCTGCCTGGGGCCCACTGGCTGTCCATGGAAAGAGCACCTGGGAGGCCCCTCTGGCCGTGGCAGGGGTGAGCAGAACAAGGTACTCTCCCTGCACGGACCTTGACCTGGGGCAGAGTTCTTAAGAATGGTGGCCACTGTTTGTGAGGAGAGCTGCCCACAGCGCTGGGCCAGTCTATGCTGCCTGGTGTTTGTTCCCACAGACACCCCCCCACCGCTGCCTCCTCTTGATGCAAGCCTACCCCAGGTTTTCCAGCGACAGGCCCGCCCCTGACCAGAGGCCGCAGGAGGCGTCCCTCCATCAGCCCTCCCATGCTTCTCGGCGCAAGGTGCTGACTGCAAGGTTCCCAGACAGACCCACGGACCTGAGCGTTGATGACAGTTGCCTTTCTTCACTCGGTGCCTGAAAACGCATCTGCTGACAGACCCCAGAGTAAAGCTTGCCTCTGAGCATGTCTTGGTTTTTTTTAAAGCAGCATTAGAGACATCTGACTGCTCACACAGTAGTCCCGAGAATCCCAGATACAGTGATGGATATGATGGAACAACAGGCTTTGAGAATTCACATCATGTAAAAGTAGACACCTGCAGCAGGGAGTGGGTGGGGTCCCGTGACGAGGAGCCCAGGCAGCGGGCACGCCCTGGGCCTCTCCTCCTCGCTGGTGCAGTTCTTGCTGGGTTACTCCAGGCACAAGGGTGCCTGTGACCTGATAAAGTCTTCTAGTGACACTCCCCAAGAAGGGAAGGGAGACAGCCCCGTACAGGCAGCCAGAAGAGCGAGGAGCTTGGATCTGGAGGGCTGCTTCCCACTGGACGTGCGAGTAGAGTGGGGGAACCCTAACGGGATTTGACAACTTCTAATTACATTTTAATTACACACTTAACCATGACAAAGGTATCTGTGGCTTTAAGCCAAAAGGCAAAGGATCACCTCTGAGTGCCAGTCCTGTTTGGCCACCACTCTGGTTTCTACTGTGTCCTAAGGGCGGTGGGCATGCTGCGGTCACACTGCTGGTCACTTACAAAGCAAGCACCAGTCAGGTCTCAGAACAGGGACAACCCAAAATAGGAAAAAAAAAAAAAAACATGCCCCTTTACTCTGCAGGCTTTAAGAAACTAGACCTAAGTACAGTTCAAGGCCCATTTCCTACTGAGCAGTGGTGACTTCCTGTGCTGACTAAGCAGAGAGGAGATCAGGGAACTTTCTGGCTCAGGCGGGGGCGTGGACTCTTGGCATGCTGCAGCTGGGACACGGGAACCTTGAGCCTTGTGCATCCGTACTTTCTGCACAGCCCCCTTGGCCCTGTTCTGTGAAAGCCAAGGCATCTGGGGCTGTGCACAGAGTCCCCTTAGGGAGCCTGCTCTAGCTGAGCAGAAACCCTCGTAGGACCTGGAGGGGACGGGGCAACCTGAATGCCCTGCATTTTTCCTACTGGGGAAAGAAGAGCAGAAAAATAACTTGGAGGTCTATTTTATTGGCAACTTAGGATGCAAAGTATTTTATTCTTAAACATCTAAAATTTGAAGACAAGATGCCTAGGTTAAATAATGAGGTTCCCAAAGCTGAGTGTGCTCACTTGGAGCTCCATTTTTCTGCTTGAAATACAAAAACAACCCCCAAAGCTCCCTCCCAGGTGGAACACAAGTGCCCCATGGCCTGTGACTGGGTGAGCTCACGAGTCTCAGTTGGCGACATCCCTTTTTCTCCTTGGCAAGGGCGTGGAAAGCTCGACGCAGGGTCCTGGTCTACTCGGCCGACCCGCTCCCGAACGTCTCCTGGGAGGCGTACACCATGTACAGGAAGCCGTCCTCGTCCTTCTCCCTCTCGTACACCTCCGACACGGGCGTGGACACGCTCACCATGCTGTGGCCGTTCACCAAGAGGAAGAAGGCCTGGTTTGCGTTGAGCTGCAGGCGCCTCCTGTTGAAAGAAAGCCACGTGAAGAGGGGACGCCAGCCTTCACGGGGACCTTCACACCACAGAAGCGCAGATGGAAGAGCTCGCAGTTGCTGCGTCTAGCTAAGTAGGACCAGCATCCCCCTCGCAGACCGGCTGGCCCTTCCTGAGCACTCTCCCCACCCTGCAGCGTGAGGAGCAGGCTGGTGGGCACCAGGATGCCACGCTGGGCGCCATCGCCTGCACCCCACCGAAGACGGGATGAGCCATGATCACTGCCGGGCCATCTTTACCACACGGCCAAGGGCAGTTTTCAACTGGCATGCCGTCCACACCGCCCTGAGAAACACGGATGTAAGCCCGTACAGATGACTGTCGACATTTGTTTTAGTCATTTTGCTGAACCCACTTTAGTAACTGTGACATTTTAAAGAAACAACATCTGTACTAGATGTTATGGACGGATCAGAAGGGACCCAAGGTTCTCCACCCAAGAAACAGGGAAGAACTCAGTGGTTTCGTTAGGCTGGCAGAACCCAAAGTGGACACAGCCACTCAAGGAGTATGAGACCCAGAAAGCAGCAGTACCTGATTATCTTGATGAGCTCGCTCATGTTGACGTGGTCGGGCACGAGGAACTTGGTCTTGTCCAGCACAGGCAGCTGCTTCTCACCCTTGTATCTTTCTATTATCACCTAGAGAAGCCAGAGGCGACGTTCCAGCAGCAGGAAAGGCAGATGCTTCCCAGCCGCAGCGGGCACGGGCCTTGCAGGCTCCGCACGGCTCTCCTGAGCGAGCGAGAGCTTCCCAGCTCTGTCTTGGTCTCTGGCAGGATGTGCAGGAGAGGAACCCTAGAGGAACCGGGGCCACCACCAGGTGGGGAAAGCTGCTCTGTTTGAATTGGGAGCCATACAATCAACACCTCGTCAGAAAGAGGCCCTCAGCCTCACATAGGGGCACACGCCTGGCATCCCAAGGACCCAGGAGCAGAGGCAGGAGGATCACAATTTGAGGACAGCCTTAGCACCTTAGCAAGACCCTGACTCAAAAATAAAGGGCTAGAGATGTAGCTCAATGGTAGAGCACCTGGGTTCAATCCTCGGCACCAGAACAAAACACCAAAAGCTACAGAACGTGGCACTACATGGGCAAGGAAACAGCTCCATGTTCGGGACTGATATTAGTTAGTTTCTCACCACACTTCCAAGAGGAAAGTTTTCTTTTTGTTAGTTCTGAGCTGCTACACAATCCCACCACAGATGGGCCTTTGAGCCTTGTCACCATCTGCATTCACCAAGCGCCAAAGACTCTCTCCTTACATGGTGCTTCTACCTGTCACAGCAATGGCAGAGAGACCAGGAGAGACTCTTAACATAAATGCTCATCTGCATGCAGATCCTCAGAGAGGACACATCAGGCTCTGCGCATAAAGAGGCCACTTGGGCTGCTGTCCCCTCTCTTGCCAGGATCCGGAGCATGCACACAGCCCGATGTTCCATCCCCAGCACCACGCAAGAGAAAAAAAAAAATCAGCCTAGTCAGAAAAAACTGACAGGTGACATCCACAAGGAGATAGCAGCGTGCACACGCCACGCACCTGGGTCTACACGGCTGTGGAGGACCCCGAGGCAGTGCACGGCTCTGGGGTCTTGGCTCAGAAGAGATCAGAGAATGAGGTCAGGACTCGGCAGCCTTTGCTAAAGGAGCGCTGCTGGCTGAGGCCAGGCCTGGCTGGCCACCCAGCGAAGACACTTCGACTAAGACCTGCAGGGCCACGTTTTGGCTCTTGTCCTTTTCATTTCTATCTAACTGGGGAGAGATGGGAAAGCATGGGATGAGAGCCTTGGCCAGGTCTGAAGAGTGGCCCAGGAAGCAGTTCACTCGGGGTCAGCCTCTGCTCTCGGGCATCCGCACAGAGG